CTGGTGCCAGTGTATTTATTTTTTTTATCCTTTGTGTAAACTCTTCCCATTGGCTGTGTTTCAGGTGGAGAAGAGGGAGGAGATTAGGGAGTGGGTTCTGACTGTGTCCATGGACCAGCGGGTGGAGCAGGTGCTGCCGAAAGATGAGAGAGGCACGTATGAAGCCTCCCTAGTGGCTGCCGGCACTGGCATCCGGTCCCTACCTTGCGTCATCACAGGTGAGGCAATCTGCACAAAAGACTGTCCGGTGTGAAGCGATGTTTCCTTTAAATTGCTTGTGAACTGGCTCTTTTAAAGGGACAGTTCACCCAAAAATGAAAATTCTGTCATTTACGCACCCTCATGCCTTTCCAAAGCTGTATTGCTTCTGTGGAACACAAAAGAAAATTTTTTTCCCCCATGCAGTGAGAATGGGGCCCATTAAGTTCTAGAAGAATCAGAATCAGAATGAGCTTTATTGCCAGTTATGTTTACACATACGAGGAATTTGTTTTCGTGACAGAAGCTTCCACAGTGTAACAGAATGACAGTGACAGAACAAAAAAACACAGATAATAAAAAATAGAACAAGTAAGGTCTTTAGAGGTGCAGTCGTTGGTGAAGAGCAGTGGGGAGAGAACGCAGCCCTGAGGAGCTCCAGTGCTGATGGTGCAGGTGTTGGATGTGAGTTTTCCCAGCCTCACTAGCTGCTGTCTGTCTGTCAGGAAGCTGTTGATCCACTGACAGACGGAGGTGGGCACGGAGAGCTGAGTTCTATTGTAAAAACAGCTAAAACATTCCTCAAAATGTCACCTTTTGTGTTATCAGATAAGAAAGAAAGTTTTGATGGTAGTTGATGACAGAATTTTATTTTTGGGTGACCTGTACATTTAGATGTGTGATTATAAAACACAAAAGTATCTTTATTTTTCTTCTTTTTATTTGGAACACAGGTTACCCTGTCCTGCACAATAAAATCGAGTTCAAAAGACCAGGGATGGCTGCAAATAAAGATGACTGGAATAAATTCTTGATGGCTACCAAAGGTACATGTTAGTCATTGTTACCTCTGAGCTTTCACAATTAGTCTTCAATCACACCGCAGTCGTTTGATTTATAATTAATTTGTTCTCTTGATCAAAAGTTAACACTCGGGACTGAATTTATTAGCGTGTGTTTTGTTGAAGTAAATGTAAATGCTCTCTTTCGATGTATTTCATCATCGTTTTTTTCCCTTGTGGGTGCATTTGCAGTTTTCGCATTACTTCACAGTTTGTCCCATCCATCCCGCCTGGGGTCGCCTGCGGTGCTTTGATCATGATTGCTTGTTTTTGTTTCACCCTTTAGACCACTCACAGTCCAGAATGTCAAGATGTGCTGAAATTTATCACACAGTGGTGCGGAGGTCTCCCTTCAGCTGGATATTCCTTCCACTAAGACCGGGGAAGGTGCACAATATCTATTTCTCTATCTGTCATCATCCTGTTCTTCACTTTCTTGCATTCGCCTCCCAGCTGTTCTGCTTAAACATTTAAACAGTCTTTTTCATTCTCTTTTCCAAAGGCAACGTTCACTTCTTGGTCATCATTCCCTGACCATTTTTTTTATAGCTAAAGTATCATAAGGTGAAGATACATGAAGGTCATTTAATGCGTGTGTTAAATATGCTTGACTGCAGAAAGCCTTTGAATATAATCTGTAAGTAACTGTAATACATACGCCACTAGTTCATATAAGTTGGATATTTTGATATTTAAACACTAAATAAAAAACGAATACTTCATAAAGATTGTCATTGTTCTCAAGGACATTTGTATGAGCTGAATATTCAGCTGAAATAAAAAAAGCTATTTTATAAATCAGAATTATTGTTAGGTGTGATAACATTTCTAAACTTTCTAAAGGCTGTATGCCTGTTGTGCATCATATTTTAAATAAATGAATTCTAAGACCTAACTCATCTGTGATGTTCACTGGTGTAATTTATTTTTATGTATAATGATCAGCTGGTTTATGATAATTAATAGTCCCCTGTCAAACAACGCCATCTTGTGGAGACCATAACGTGTTGAGGGTGAAAGAGTACACTCACACTTGTGGCCTGGTACAATTTTCATTTCTAATGATGTAATAATAATGTGGAGTATTCCTTTTTATTTCGAGCCAGATCTTTGTTCCATAAAAACGCATTAAACTATGAGGCATCATTATACTGCAAATATTTTAATATGTAAAAATAAACATCAAAGAAACTAGTAGACTTGTGGGTGGTTTTGATTGTAATTTCTAGTTATTATATAACTGGACGGATCATTAGACTGATGGTTTGTAGTTGAATTGCTTGTATAAACAGACAGTAAAGAAAAAAACTGTCACAAGGAATGATTTATGGGGGTCAGACCTACTAAATAAGGCCTGAACAAGCAAAGTCAAAAGGTTTGGGAGTCAGGGTTAGTTAAAGTATATATGCTTATTTATGTAGTATGTGCATATATATATATATATATATATATATATATATATAGGTTTCTACGTGTTTTTAAACGTCTTATTAAATTAGATTACAAGTCAGAGCGCGTATGGAAGGTAACCATAGCGACAGTACGCTGTTTTTGCAAACGCGTTATAACGATAAAGCATTACAGGAATAATGTAATTATGCATTAATGTATTATAGATTTACATAACACATACATCACAAAAGCTTTTTAGTTGAGCGACGTTTATCTTACTGATAGTGGCGCGAAATGACAATTTGAAGGAAACACTTCGTGTATATAACATTACCTGAAAAATTACGTTTGTATTTACAGTTTAATCTTTTAGCAGATGTTTAAAATTCTTTGAAAACTTGAGGTGTTTTAAATAAACGGTATAATTTGCACCCTTAACAGAAACCAAAGTTAATGTTCTGTGACTAATATATCTGTCCGTTTTGCTCATCTCATTAAATAAATAACAATCAACACAGGTTAACTCCGTATTTGGTCATAACAGTCAGTGGTTTCCAACATTTTTTTTTTATTTGCAATTTTGAATGTTCTTTTTCTAATCCAATGATTTTCATGCAAATCCCATTGAAATAACTTACTTTGTGTCCCACTGCCGCTGTGTCCCCGAGTCCTTCAAGAATCAACATTTACAAAACATGACCAACTCGCTGATTGAAATACAGGGGCAGCTGAATTTAATCTGCGACCTACATATTCTTTTGATGAAATATGCTAATGTAGGCTACACCTCTGCCTAATGAGGTTGATCTGACATTATGCAGTGTCCTTAAGTACCCTTTAAAGGATAGAGCATTTTCGACAAGGCCGCACACGGTTCGAGTCTCAGAAAGGGCATGTTGCTAAAAATTCTGTGTTGTGGATCATTTCTCATTTTTCTCTACTGCGATATTCTCATATTAGAGCACTGCTTCGAGGTTACATCATTCACTTCCAGTAGCTGAGGCCCTTTATGTCACGCAAACTGCGCGTGTGCATTTCTTTCTTAAACGTTTGAAATGAAAACTCCAGTCTTGGCAGTCTAGTAATGCACGCGCGCTTTATAAAATTATATCTTGATTGTCCCCCATTTATTGCCTGATCTGTAAACGCACGGAGCGTTATAGTTCTAGAACAGGAAGAAGGCTTGCACGTTCTATTCTGAAGTTAAATATGTTTTATTAATACCATTTAAACATCTGTCGGAAATTATACATAACGTTAACCTTGACTAGTAGTCTCGTGGACGAAAGACATTATAATTCGTTTGGTACAGAAGTTGATATGGTACAGAAATGATTTATGCCACGCTTTCTTTGCTATCTTTGATTGGCGAATATAATCTTGCGCGTTTATCTAATAAAATGTAGTTTAACTGGCAAAAGCCTATAGGCCTTCATTTCCAAAAGCAACCATTAAATGACCTTGAAAAAGAAGTTCACGGTTACTGAATAGGGTATAAGGAATACAAGGATGAAAGATTGATTTGGATGTACAGACCTATCTCTAAAAATGAACATCTCATATGAGGTGAAGATGAAATATTATGACAACTGCTGGAATTCATGGCATGTTTAAGGCGCCTATAATGTGAAATGTGCGTTTATATTTAATCGAAATCCGCTTCAGTTTCCATCATCTGAATATAAACGTGTTGTTTATAGCTACTCTCTTTAAAATAAGGGTTCTTATGTGGTCCTCATAAATTCAGTAAATAACCATTAAGAACATGTTTGCTGCATAAGTTGGCTTTAAAACGTTCTTGATGTTGCATGTTTTCAGATGAGTTTTTTTTTTTTGTAAACATACAAAAGTTTTTCAAGAGGATAAAAAGTTCTTGGAGGATTTGAAAATGATTCTTCTACAGGCCGTAGTGTCTTTTTGCTTGCAGCTTTTCGACGCTAAATAAAGTGTGGGTTTTGTGAATCGTGAACGTCATTTTGATTTTTAATTTGATATGAAATATTGCTTAAACTACACGGTTAAAAAGCTCGCGGCCTGCATCCTAATTACTGAGAATCATTGTAAAAAAATAAAGTGAAAATATAACTAAAGTTTTAGAAAAGTGGAAAAGATCAGGTCTTAAAGTGTTCTGATTAATCGAAATATGAAGTGGCAAATATTGCGTGAAAAAAAAGAAATTAATGTCTGCTTAGTGAATATGTGACTTTATTGACAAGCTAAAATGATTTTCAAACGTATAAATAAATACAAACGTACATGTTCAATATTTTCAGTGCCCTTATGAGGACACATGACAACTGCTGTCGTCCTGAACGTTCAGAAATTTAAGTTTAATTTGGTTGTCAACGTAGGCCTCACAACTTTTCTATCCATATTCTTCTTCTTCATCATCTTCTCCTGAAGACATCGTGTCCCCACACAGATCTGCAAATGAGACTATTTCTAGATTTGAATCGTCCTCTAAATAGACAGTAAATGACAAAAAATACGTTACATCAGACCTCATGGTAATTGTTAAGAGTTTTAAATGCACAATGACTATTCAATACTTCACAATAGGGTGTCGTCCTGAACGTTCAGAAATTTAAGTTTAATTTGGTTGTCAACGTAGGCCTCACAACTTTTCTATCCATATTCTTCTTCTTCATCATCTTCTCCTGAAGACATCGTGTCCCCACACAGATCTGCAAATGAGACTATTTCTAGATTTGAATCGTCCTCTCAATAGACAGTAAATGACAAAAAATACGTTACATCAGACCTCATGGTAATTGTTAAGAGTTTTAAATGCACAATGACTATTCAATACTTCACAATAGGCTATTCAATGATACGCTCTTTTGCGCAACACAAAATGATGGAAGAAAAGATCAGTTTGGCCGCATTATTGCGTCGGCTCGCACACACACACGCGCTCTCGCAAAAACTGACCGAAGGAAAAATAAGAACTGTCATGCATCGCAAACCACGGACTATTCGCGCTGTGCTGTTATAAAAACCAATCATCGATGATATTTGCCATCTCTCTTGGCATTCACCGCGTGCCTTAATTGTATGGACATTTAAATCAAGGTCCGCTGTGAACACGAAGAAAAGCAGGCCTGTTTGCAACCACAATGTTCTGAATCGCACAACTAAGCTACAGCAAAGATGTTGCACCAAAATCTCTACGTCCTCCTCCGACTGGTGTAGCATCAGCATCCAACATTGCATAGAGCATCATGCATCCTTAAAGCATCTGTGCATCACATCATAACTCAAGCAAGCGTTCCCATTTATTACATTACCTATTTTTTCGAATGCGTAATTTCCACAGGACGGTGCGCATCTCTCCATCATGTGTTGGTGCAACATAAGGCCCGAGTGATGGCAATAAAAAGAAAGCGCTCAGTGGCTTGCTGCAGTTGGTCCCTTGCTCAACTCCCATGAGATATAAAAAAAAAAAAATAGTAGAGGGCCCATCTGGCTCCTCACCAGCTTTGTCAAGTCTTGTATACGCTAAAATGCTAATGACCTAGATAGCTCATGCAAAATGCAGCAGAGGTAAGAGAGAAGGGGGAAACTGTGGGACTAAACCAGAGACACCGCAGCCTCTTGTGGGGGGTCGGGCGGGGTATATGTTAGAAGGTGGAGACAGTTGAAAGCACCTGCATCAGGAGGGGGTAAACTAAATATTGGGAAAAAAAGTGGAGGGCACCATTTGTCAAAGCCAACCTTGCACCATGCACAGAAAGGAAAATTCCCCGCAAATAGGATTTTAATTAGGCGATCCATTCAGTGACGTCCATTCAGTCTGAAAATCAAAGAACCTATTAATATAGCCTGGCATCATTTGATACAATGGCACCTCAATGCATTTACAGTCAACTGTTATATGCGATAGAAGAAGAAAAAAACATGCTTTAGTAAAACAGACGCAGTTGGTTGACATTAACAATTTGTAAAAACAATGCACATCGATTTAATCAAAACTTACACAAATACACCTTGCGAAGCAGGATATAAATAATAGGTTTTTATCCCCCGAGATAATAAGTGTCCATAAATCCAGTTTTGGGAAATGTCCACAAGGCAGTCGGTGCAGAAGAGCGTCCTTCCAAACCCATCAAATGTTCCGCTCGCTTTTGCGCACCTTGATGCTGTAGGATGCGACGCAAATCATTTCCGCTTACAGTGCAGCATCACTCAAATTTCTTCAAGATAAACGAAAAAAAAAGAAAGCAGAAAAAGGCATGTTGGAGGCAAATAGCCAGAGCTGAAGGTTTCGGTGCTCGTAAGCAGAGTCGGTCATCATGTGAAATGGTGTGATGCAGAGCGCAATCTGACAGAGAGGAGGAGAGCAGCCCAGTTTATCTCACACACACTGAAGCTCTCCGTCCTGCTCCTCTGTTCCCTTCCCTTCAGAGAGGATTATACTCTGGTGGAAAGAGCTGGCATCTGTCGGGTTACTGAACATTAGCCGTTTGGAAAATAGTTTCTGCACTTTTCATGATGCACGTGTTTGTTTTATTTCATCGTTGTGATTTCTAAATCACTTTTTTCTTTCCACTCATTTCTTGACGCACAAGTCAACGTGCAATCGTGCGCACGACTTCTCAAACTGGTTTATAATCTGAAGAACAACAAAAGTATTTCAAATTGGACGTTTTTTACATTCTAACCCCAACACAAAAATGCAACGCTCTTATGGAATGCGTATTGGCAAATAAACCGCGAGCACCTTTAAGAAATAAAGTCATCGTGCGCCACGATTCCACTGACTGTTCATTCTTCGACGTAAACGTTTTCACGTGAAATACATATTTTGTTAACACCGCAGTAAACCCGTAGAAAGTATTAGTTCATCAATTTGTGTCCAAAAAAAAAGGCCGACTCCATATGGCCTGTCATCTGCGCGTTGAGTCCCATCCCCCAGACCCCACCCGCGCTCATCTCATCCCTCATGCTGCACTGATTTATTATCGAACACTGATTTATCTTTATTCCTTTCTCATTTTATTGCTACACAAAAACGTTTCCTCAGACTCCAACTCACTGATAGTTCTCATTTGCTTAGGGATTTAAACCCACAACAGCCTGCCAGGCTTACTTTAAAAATACGCAGGCCTGAGTAGGCCTATTGCATAAACGTACAAATTATTTTAAAGGGAGTTTGATCATTTTATTCGTCTCGCTCAATCCGAATTGCCTTTGTAGTTAATTAACATCATCTACCTTAAATGTTATGAAGACGTTTGTATACACGACACACTGTATACAAAGCACCGTCAAGTAAAGCGCTCGAACGACGTAACGTATCTATCTATCCATCTATCTATCTATACATACGCTTTGTATTGTGTGGGTTAGTACTTGCTTTGAGGTCAGCAGAGGTCTCCTGATCCTCTCATGTGTTGCAGTTTAGAGGACTGGCGTCTGCCGCACGCGTGTCCCGAACAAACACATTCGACACGCGGTGAACTCCAGATGGTAAAGCTTTTCAATCCACCCTTATGCTGACGACACATGGATAAAGACACTGTCTCTGAGTGCTGCAGCCAGCCAACACCTTCAAGGGCCCGGGAATATCATCTGATTAAACAAAGAAGTGGCTACTTGGTGTTCTGTTTTCTGTCTGTTTGTAATGCATTGCAGATATCCCTCGGCTTATAAACTATTTAGTGCTGTCAAACGATTAATCGCAATTAATCACATCCAGAATAAAACGTTTTTGTTTACATAATATATGTATGTGTGCTGTGTATATTTATTATGTAGCCTATATATAAATACACACACATACATGTATATATTTCAGAAAAAAATATGTTGTTTATATATTAAATGTATTTATTTATAATATAAATGATATGAATATAAATATAGACATGTAAATATTTTCAAAATATGTACTGTATGTGTGTGTATTTATATATACATAATTAATATACACAGAACACACATATTATGCAAACAAATACGTTTTTGTATGCGATTAATCGCGATTAATCGTCTGACAGCACTAAAACTATTATTAATCGTATAAGCAAACAATTAGCCTAGTATTATCAGAAAATTATAAACACCTTTCCATCAATCAATATCCTAAATTCACATAAAGTGTAATGTAATTGGATTAAGTAATTTTCCTAAACTCATTTTCTACTACCTACTATCCTGGACGTGTGCCAACAAGATAGCGCACACTTGAACTGACTTTAAATTTGAGTCCAATGTTACACATAATTAAAAACGATATACTTACAACTGACACAAGCACATTCATTAATATGAGCATTTTGAACATTAAAAACAATATATGGGTGCATAAAACACGTTGTGAAGTTGCCATGCCCTGTGGTGTGACAGCTACATTTAATCTAAAATAGCATTTTATAAACTTAAATTAAGAGTATTAGTATTGTCACACCACGCATCAACAAACAAAATAAAAGCTAGTGCCAACACAAATGAGTAGCTTTACACCTTTTTATTAAGAACATAGCCTATTCCAAGCTCCTAAACTTGTTTGAATCACTGAGGAAGGAATGTCCTCCAACACAGCACTGAATACGGAGTCGTTTAACCACAGGGTTAAAGGGGACTTTAAACATTTGATTAGAGCACGCGTACTTATTTACAATATATATATATTCGTAAACAAAAAGTTACGTAAAGAGCATTTCAGAAAAAAATATGTTGTTTATATATTAAATGTATTTATTTATAATATAAATGATATGAATATAAATATAGACATGTAAATATTTTCAAAATATGTACTGTATGTGTGTGTATTTATATATACATAATTAATATACACAGAACACACATATTATGCAAACAAATACGTTTTTGTATGCGATTAATCGCGATTAATCGTCTGACAGCACTAAAACTATTATTAATCGTATAAGCAAACAATTAGCCTAGTATTATCAGAAAATTATAAACACCTTTCCATCAATCAATATCCTAAATTCATATAAAGTGTAATGTAATTGGATTAAGTAATTTTCCTAAACTCATTTTCTACTACCTACTATCCTGGACGTGTGCCAACAAGATAGCGCACACTTGAACTGACTTTAAATTTGAGTCCAATGTTACACATAATTAAAAACGATATACTTACAACTGACACAAGCACATTCATTAATATGAGCATTTTGAACATTAAAAACAATATATGGGTGCATAAAACACGTTGTGAAGTTGCCATGCCCTGTGGTGTGACAGCTACATTTAATCTAAAATAGCATTTTATAAACTTAAATTAAGAGTATTAGTATTGTCACACCACGCATCAACAAACAAAATAAAAGCTAGTGCCAACACAAATGAGTAGCTTTACACCTTTTTATTAAGAACATAGCCTATTCCAAGCTCCTAAACTTGTTTGAATCACTGAGGAAGGAATGTCCTCCAACACAGCACTGAATACGGAGTCGTTTAACCACAGGGTTAAAGGGGACTTTAAACATTTGATTAGAGCACGCGTACTTATTTACAATATATATATATATTCGTAAACAAATAGTTACGTAACGAGCACACGCGCTTGTGCAATCGTTACACAAGTGCATCGCGTGCGGCGTGTTTGTGCTCATGGTCGCGCGGACTTCCGTGCGTTTGGTTTGGCGTTATTTTGTCCAAAACAGAGTGGGAGATATGTCCTCCAAAATACGAATGCCGTCTCCGGAGGGAGCGCTACCTGGAAGAGAGCAGAGCATGAAAGTGTCAGGTATGGCGTTGTGAATTTGTTTGGACTTTCTCAGTTGTTCACGTGCTAACGCGGCTATCGGCTGTCAAAACAAAGGCAGTGCCTTAACGTGTCAAGTCACGGTGAGATGGATATATTGTTATAGGGTACGGAATTGCAACCGAAGCGTACTTGTGCGAAAGAAAGCGAAGAAGAGTCCTCTGCGGTCGAGGAAACGGGGAGCTTTGTTTTGTTTTTCCTGGATCTGTGCGACGCGCATGCGCAGTGCTACACTTACGTATCATCATTTAGTTTATTCCAGACATCCAGCTAGCGAGTATTTGTAGACGTTATTTACTCGTATTTGGCTACTCAATAATCAACTCATTGATGTTTCGGTATGACACCTTATAGTAGCATCATTACAACTTATTCAGCCCTTTTCTCTTTCATTTTCATCAATTTTTCACGTTAAAGTACCATTTAGGTGAAGCAAAATGTTTTCAAAGTCAAAGAGTAATATCCCCAACACTCTTGGCATTAAATATTCAACATCTTTCTCCTCAGAGGGAAGAGTACAGGGTAGTAAAGGGCAATAAAAGGCACACTTGCAGTGGAACAATACAGCTGACTCAGGCTCTTACATAAAAATGGAAATGCTGCTTCAAGTAGGGTGAAGAGCTCTGATGGGAACACGAGGCCTGCTACCAATCCTAAATCACACCGTTTAAGTGACATCATTTAAACGGAAAAATAAAACATCTAGTTAGAATATTAAGTAGTTATTTAGCAGACACTTTTATCCAAAGTGACATGGATAAAGTGGGACAGTCATCCTGAGATAAAAAAAATTGTTACTATCAATAAATACTTTTCTTTTCATAATCACACCCACATGTTATTCCAAACATTTAAATGTAATACTTACCAGTATATTTCACCCCCACAAAATTACAATTCATGTACTCACCCTCGTGTCATTTCAAACCGGGAACACTTTTATTTTTCTGTGGAACAGAAAATAGTTTGTAAAAACATTTAGTCTATGACACTTTTATCCAAAGTGAGTGCGAAAAGAATAGTTTATTCAAAAATTATTTTCACACCCTCATGTTATTCCAAACCTATATAGTATTTTTTTTCCTTGGAACACAAAATGAGAAAATGCATGGGCTGTTTCTTTTCATATGGAAAAAAAAGAAGCATGTACATTGTTTTACAAATATCCTTTTGTGTTCCACTGAAAAAGAACAGCATATGGATAGGCATAATAATGACAGAATTTTATTTTTTGAGAAAACTATCCCCTTTGTCTTGCTCAAGGGCACAAAAGTGATAACACAAGGCTTGTTTCTTTCGGAGGTCGAACTAGCAATTTTCTGCCTTTTCAGCCTTGGGCTATAGCCATATATACCTTGTCCCATCCTCCCAGCAGCAGGTCCAAGTGGACATTTCCCTTCGAGTTTTGGAGATATTGCCTTTGCATTCATTGTACAACTAACAGCTGTGGACTTAAGTTGTAAAGGAAACTTTAGATTAGGATGGTAGGTTATTGTTGTAACTCGGCCTGGAAGTTAATAAGTATAAAAATAATGTGTTTGCAATGCCTCGCTCTCAGGAGCATCAGCAGGCTGCTTGACATGCGACTCACATTGGCGTTCAGTGCAATGGCATGAAGCATGCCCATGCAGGGATCCACTCCTTCAGACTGCAGTGAACTGATTATCAGCGCTCGCCTCTCAAGGCTTCCCCCTTGGTAACGGGACTCCACTGGAAGGTTGCCAGGTAACACTCTGCAACACTGACACACGCGTGTCTCGCTTTGAAGATGTAATGAACCTTGTTGAAGGTTACAGACCACAGAACAGATGGAAGAATGAGATCAGAGCTTAGGGCAGTGCGATGTCTCTTTGAACACGAGCAGCTCTTGCAAAAAACTTTGTGGGCGCTTATTTCACGTGCTGAGGGAACTGGTTCAGTTATTTCAAGTGCTGGAGTTGCTGTGGACTTTTGGAGTGGGATTGTACTTCTTTTTTTATTGATATGCAAAAAAAAGCCCCCCTAGTTGAAATTGCTTGAATAATTAAGATTTTTTTTCAGTGTTTTGAAAGAAGCCTCTTCTGCTTACTAAGGCTTCATTTATTTGATTAAAAAAGTAAAAACAGTAATAATGTTAAATATTATTGCAATTTAAAATAACTGTTTTCTATTTGAATATATTTTAAAATGTAATTTCTTCCTGTGAGGGCAAAGCTGCATTTTTAGCGTATCAGAATGATTTCTGAAGAATCTTGTGACACTGAAGACTGGAGTAATGGCTGCTGAAAATTCAGCTTCACCATTATAGAAATAAATTGAGTAATTGAAAATATTTAACAGTATAGTTCACCCAAAAATTAAAATTTTGTCATTATTTACTCACCCTCATGCTGTTCCAAACCTGCATGACTTACTTTCAACTGTGGAACACAAAAGAAGATATTTTCAAGAATGCTGGTGACCAAAACAACGTTTGACCCCATTGACTTTTATCGAATTTACCAAAATAAATAAATAAACATTTTAAGTACTTTAGACATTTTAATTAAAATAGATGTTTTAATTTTAAATTAAACATTTTAATAATAATAATAAAAAATCAAATGTGGCAAAAAAAAGAGAAAAGTTCAACATTTTTCATCTGGTAGAATGCTGCCAGTCAAAGATGCAAAGTAAAATTAATTTGTGAAATTCTAATAGTAATTTGGCTAGTTGATTAGGTAGTACAGAAAAAATACTTCACTTGAGTAGTTGATTGCTCATATGCTGTATATTAAATATAGATTGTCAGAGCAATATAGTCCAACTGTTTTCATATTCTCTATACCAGTTGTTGATTTGCCATGCTAAATATCATATAACAGTTTTGTGGCAGTGCATGATTTGGTTTCCATATAAGTGAGAAAGTTTGTTTAGGGAGGGCGTCCTTGGGGCCATCCTGCTTTGGCACACAATAGCGCGGCCATGTCCCCAAAAATGGCAGTAGCGGCACAGGAGGTGCTGTTTTGGCACGCAGAGAATGATCACAGCGCTGAAAGGAAGAACAGCAGTAGGATTTCTCCCTGCTAAGACAGATTTGAAAGTGAGTAGGTGAAACACAGAGCAATTCTCGAGTACCGGTGGCTAACAACGCATGGAGCGGATGGGCGGTTGAAGGAGGGACGTTGGAGGTGCGGGGACGCTTGGGAGATTGGGATGACAGACATTCCAATGTCCTCACATCTGTGCATCTGGAGAGGGAGGAGGGGGGACCGAATCTGGATGAAGGTGGCAGGGAATGGCAGAGAAGAGAAATTAATTTGAGATTCGTTTTGATCAATTTGCCTAAATTGGCGCTTTTTCGGGGGGAGGAGGGGGGCCCAGAGAAGCAGACACAGGCTGGAGCTGTGCCAGGGTTTCTCGGGAAAGTTGCCACGCTGGGAGTGCGGGAGCACGGAGAGGGAGAGGAATGGAAGAGAAAAAAACCCAGGCAAGACTTGGCAGGGTTCTATCGCAGCTCCCTTTGTTTGTTTGCTCAGCTTTTGTGCAAAGGAAATCAAAAATACCCCGAGTGCAGGAGCTCAGCTTCAGTGCTAAAAACTAAATCTAAAAAGAAAACTGCATTATATTTCGCAGGAAGCTAGGGCAAAGGGGGCACACATTGTAATCAATGAGCCGTTTTTGGACAATTCTGGAAGAATTGTGTGGTCCCCGTTTTTTGGATTGGACTTTTGAAGTTGTTTGCGCCAAGAGATGACCATGCGTCTTCAGGGGTCTTTGTTATCTTAACCGCAAATTAAGATGTATCTGACTTGTTTATGTTCTCATTAATGGCTTTACTATGCCTGGAACTACAAACAGCAAGTGCCAAAGAAAAGTTTGCACCTCTACGACCGGACTGCAAAGTTTTGTTTTTACTTTCAGAACTTCTAAAACTAAGGGCCAGAAGACGCTGTGTTCCTAAGTGGGAAATTTATGTTTTTGTCTTGGAAGAAGAAGTTAGGTGACTCTCCAAGTGTCTTCAGCAACAGTCTTCTTTCTTTGAGGTGTGTCTCCAGAATACCAAGACCATATTCCAAGGCTGTTTGCATTTGAACATGCTTAGATCAATGAGGGCATAAAGAGACTGTTTTGATTGCAGGTGATATTCCAGTCTTCTAACTATTAAGGAATTTGATGCTCTACAAGAAGGAGATTAATTGTTGGTCAGCCATTTTGATGCTAAAAAGCTTGCGGTCAACAAACGTCTGGAGTACAAAGAAGGCCTGGATGTTGATTTTCCTAACATCTGTGGCGTCTCTTTCAAGCCAAATAATGCTCTCAATTATTTAATCAAGTTTTTTTCTCACTTGGCTTCCTTGATGCTGACGAGTCACTGTTAGAATGGTGAGTTGTTGTTATTGGTTTGTATGATTTATTATTGGTTTGCATGAAGTATGATTTCCTGTAGAGAGACAGTTTTCTACCGATTCTTCATCTGCTTTTTTCATACAGTGTTGTTTGAAACATGCCACCCTTCTATACAGACTTTATAGCGTCCTCTCACCAACTTTTATACTAATATACTGGTTTTCTGTCTCACAGCTACACATTGGCATTGCTTATTGCTATTGCACTAGGATTCTGGCTGCATCGGCAGGCTTCCAGTGCTTTTTAACTGTGAAAAGGGCAAGAACAGAGAAGAGACAGAGAGAGATTTTGTTGATTCGGTGCCAGTATGAATTTGCCAGATGTGTTTCATCACAAGACAGGTGTCCATGGCTGATAGAGCAGGTGCATTATGATGTTTGGCATTATATTTTGATATTATGGTTTTCTGAAAGGCCTTTCAGCTTTCCATCAATACTCAAAACATGCAAAGGCCTAAACTCCCTTTGGTGGAATTTTAAACAAGTGGACATTGAATTTTTAATCACCAGTATTTCTGACCTTTGAAGATGAATCCAAATTCACTGTTCTGTGTGCCATTTCTGATTTGTTTTATGAAGTAGAAACTTTTTTTTTTTGCCACCAGCGTCTCAGAA